CAGGGTATCGAACACAGGGAACGACAAATTAAATTAAAAACTAATTCTATCTAAGTTGATTAAGAAATAGGGGTTTTTCTCTAGTTTTACAAGACTAGAAACTTACTAACTATAACTAATTTAAGACTAGAAAATAACAATTTAACTAGATTCAATAATTGGAAAGGAACTTCTGTTTAGTTCAACTCGGTTAACTCTATGGTTGATTTCAAGGTAATAGTGCAATGGATTAATTCTTTCGTTGGTTACCGATTCAAGTGATTAGGTTCATGTTCACTACCCTAATCCTTAGCAAATAAACTAACTCAAACAGTGGCCAATTGCTTAATTTAATTATATTTACTAGATTAATTATTCGGGTTAAGTTAGACTTGCAATAGCTAATTAATTTATTATTCTTAATTAACCTCTTGTTTGATGGTCATCTTACAAGCTTGCACATGAATTTACTCAATTTTCTTATTAATTCTAGTTTCATATTCATTAATCCTAGACATATAGTATAGTGGTCACATATCATATGAGGTTGATAATCAATAGATGTTCATGCTAATCAATTATCTTCCTATTAACAGAAAATTAATTATTATTCATACACAAGGTTCTTTAGCAAGCTAAAATAACAAAAATTCACCAACTTGGAATTAATCCTACCAATCAATCAAACCATATTGTCAACTTTGTATCCCCAAACAGAAGTCTAAAGATTTTAGTTCATAATTAAAGTAAATAACAGCAAACAAACAAGTTCAAGTTGCTTAATCATATTGACAAAACAAAAGAATAAGTAGAATGATGAAATTGTGCCTTAATTACTTTCGGAATTGAATTCTAGCTTTCTTTGTCGACTTCTAGGGTTCTTCTGGCTTCTTAATCGCAGCAAAACACTTCTGAATCGTCCCAGAATTCTCTCTTATCGATTTGTGGAGTTATCTTTAAATAAGCGATCCGACTCGTCGAGTCAAGTGGTGATTCGTCGAGTCCCTCTCACATTATTGCGATAACTATCTGGAATTCCGAGTCATTATCCTTCTGATTCCTCGACCGGACTCGTCGAGTCCAGGCTCGACTCGACGAGTAGAAGCTTTTTTTAGTGTTTTTCTTCTTCATTCCACTCTCGAGCTCCTAACCGCTTCTCTTGCTTCCTTTTGCTTCCGAGCTTCATCTTTGGACTGAAAAACATAATTTAACACTTTTAAGTACCTTTTGTCCATAATATGCGATAATTTAGCTAATATATAAATAAAAACTATATTAAATACACACTAAATATGCACATATCAGTCCTTTTAAGGCCAAAACTTGTATTTAAGGCTAGTTTTAGTAAAAATAATATTTTTAACTCACTTTTGTCAAAAATATCATTTTTGGCTTAGTTTTATGAAAATGTGCATTTCGACCCATTTATAAATAAATTTATCTTTTTGGCCCGAGCTTTAACAAATTTACATTTTTAGTTCTTATCAAAAGTTTACATTTTTGGCAAAACTTTGTTGAAAATGACACTTAAGCCCACAAAAGTCCAAAAATTTACAATCTTTGTCCAAATCCGTAAAAGCCCAAATGAGGCCCATTTGCAAAAATTCTACACTTTTAGCCCTTTTAGAATCACAAATACCATAAATATTCATATTTATCAAAAATAATCCTTTTTTGTCCCATAAAAAGCAGTGAGTTACATATAATAACCTCATTTTTTATTATTTTGTCATTTTGGCCCTCTTATGCATTTTTCTTAGTTTTGAACAACTTTGATGTGTTTTAAACCTTTTCTTGCATAATAAGTTGTAATAGGTGTTGTGTTCCACAAATATCCTCATATTTTAGTATATTTTCAAGTTTATGAAGTTTATATGACATAATCACACTTATATCATGAAAAACACACAAAATCTTGCATACATACGTAGATCTACACAAAACAACTTGTATTCTCCCACAGAACATTGTAAAAACCGAAAATAGGGGGTATGAACTCACTTTGGGTTGTTGTTTTCGGTTTTTGATGAAGATTGAGAAGGATCTCGGCCCTAGAAGCTTCTTGAGTGGAGTTTTTTTGAACTTAAGATGGATCTATGATCATGGATCACGAAATGATGTGTTAAGGAGTGAAGATGATCATAAAATGAAGTTAAACACTTTGGTGAGAAATTACTTACCAAAAATGGTGATCTTTGATGAAGAGTTTGTGAAGAACACACACATACACACACTCTCTCACACGAAGTCTTAGAGAGATAGAGGGTGGGAGGATGTTGAATGTTGAGAGAAAATGAGTTGGAATTGAAGTGGTGAATGAGGGTGGAAAGGGAGAGAGTGGCTGAGAGATAGAAAATAAGAAAGAAGAGGGTTATTTGACATGAGGTTAATACATGGAGGTTTAAGGCTTAACTTGGATAATTAGCCTAGATATCCACTAAATAAATATGAGGTGTCACATGCTTAATCCCCATCTTTTACTCCTCTTTCTTCTTCTTTTTTTTTTTTTTTTTTTTTTTTTTTTTTTTTTTTACCGAGAATTAGGGTGAGAAGAAGGAATAAGAGGTGTGTTGGGCTTAAATTTGGATACTCTTGAAATTACAAGGCCCAAATGTGGAAATTTTTGGCCCATTTGGCCCTTATAAGGGTTTACGACCCAAAAGAGTGAACAAAATGGATTTTTGGCCCATTTAGATTGAAGAAAACACTTATGGCGCATTAAGGCCCATGATTACAAAGCGATTTATTTTAGGTCCAACATGATCCAAAATACTATAGTTAAATGAATGTGAGTCCAATTCGGGCCCAGTTGAAGACTCTTAGCTTAAAAGAAGCAAGTTGAGGTTTTATTGGTCCATTAGGCCCAATAAATTATTCCTAGCCCACTAAAATGTTTGAACCAAAGATATTAGGGTTTCAAACCCATAATTGAGTATATGAAATGTATTGAATTAGGTTTTGAACCTCACTTATGAGTTTTGATTCAAAAGGTTAATTTTGAATGAGCATAGTACATGACATCAACTTAGACTACAAGTTAAACTAGAGTTGATTTTTACATGAACACAAAATTGTCTAGCTAAAAATGCTAGTTGTGACACTGATATTCGGTTAACCGATTTTTTCGAGTCGGTTATCCGGTTAACTAATTAACCATTACTAGTTAATAAAATTATGTTATGATTATTGATCCTCATAACAAATTTCCTAAAAATGAATGAATTACAATGAATACTCCATATAATTTTTTTAATTATATTGTTTCTTCTATTAACAATGAAATTATGATGAATTATCAAATATCTATAGAATATGAAAAATAATATTAACTTGTACAAAAACGTACTTTTTAATTAATAGATAAAAGATAGTTAAATATTTAGTTTTTTTATGTGCGATGGTGATGAAATACAAATAACAATTTTTATCTATATCAACATATGTATATTTATAACAATTGTTAACGATGATAATTAATGGTTTATAATAGAAAATGTAAATAATATGACGATTCCGAATTGTAACTAAAAATTTCTAAGAAAAAACCTTGATATTGATTTAAACGAGTAACATAAACAATATTTTAAAAAAATAGAAAATAAAATTTCGGTTTTCCGGATCAACCATAACTGAAACGAAAAACGTTTTACCAGTTTGTTTAACCATACAGGAAATCCAAAAATATCGATTTGGTTAACATGAAAATCAATACGGTTTTTAGATTTTCAGGTTCAGCTTTTCGGTTTTCGGATATTTTAGTTTTTAAATATTACAATTGAAAATCAAGAAAAATTTGGTAATATAACATTATCAATTTGTGTCAACCAAATTTTTAGGTCGCAAAACAAGTTGGTACCAAGTATATTTGATACAATAGTGGTATCAAAGTTTTTGTTCCAGTTATAGTTGGTACAGTACATGGTTTGAGTAAAAACAAACTGCTGCCGTACCATGCTTAGCCCTAGTGGCAACCGTCAAAAATTAGTCATTGATCGTTGATCGTGAATCTGACGAACATCAAAGTAATGAATCTAATATATAATGTTTAATTATTTTTGATGAAAATATAATATTATACATTAGAAAACTTAAGAAAAATGTATTAAATCGTCCAATCACGGAAAAATATAGGCGCACAAATTTTGTATTATTTTATATAAATAATAATATAATTCGTAAGTACACGTCAACAAGATTCCAAAAATATAAAAAAAAACATGCAAATTTAACTTCGTATGAGGAAGTTATGATTTTTGTAAATTTAGCATTCAACCCGACCTGACAATGTGTGTCACAAAAAGTGAAACGAAGAACTGTTACTCATTAGACAAAACACTCTAAACAAAATGTAACGTCCCAAATTTTAGAATAAAATTTTCATTTTAAAAATAGAATAAACACTCATTTTTGATAACGTTACATTCAGGTTAAACCATTTGTTCATAACCCATTATTCAAAAATAAGAGTTATAATGAAGACAATGTGAAATCTCGAATCATAAAACTGTCGGTGTGTGTATACAGTTACGCCTTCACAATCTAATAAGTATGTAACTTCCGGTTCCCGTTTTTCACTTTTACACTGCGACTCGACGAGTTAGAGGCCTAACTCGTCGAGTAGATGCGAAATTTAGACGTGGGTGGAAGAGTCTACTCATTGAATCGGAAGCCCCGACTCGATGAGTAGACCTGTCTGGATGAAACCCTAAATTTGAGGGTTTGCACCATATTTAAACAACTTATAGGGTCTCTACCCCAGCCTCTATCACCCTCAGACTCTCTTCACGAAACCCTAATCAAATATTGAGTGTTCTTGAGCTTTTTGTGCCATTTATTTGTCTTTGAAGCTTGAGAAGAAAGAGGAAGCTTGGGAGACTAAGAGAAAGCAAGTAGATCCAGAGGTTTTGGCACATTCCAGCTCATTTGAGGTATAAAGTTGATACCTTGACTATTCATATCTTAGATCTCATTTGAGATATAAATATGATAAAATGGGTTTACCCTTCTTTGATACATTATGCTTACCCATTTTCTCTGTCACATCTCTCTTCCTTTTTTTCTTTTGCAGGTCTTCCAAGCATCCTCCTTCTTTGGGGAGGTAAGGGTAGGGTGAACGATGTCTCTGACCACATGTTACTACCATTCATAGGCAAGATATTATTCAAGTATGTTTTATTGTAGTTTGAACTACTGAAAATAGGATCCATATATGTGTCCACATCCTTATTCAGAAATAAGATTGTAGCAACTAAATGGGCACACCCATATCCATTTAGTTGCCAAAACTTACAAGAACATGTCCTGTTGTCAAGATCCACATCATAAGCTTGATCTTCATTTCTTGTCTCAAACTTGTTTAGTCCACTTGGGAGCACTTTCCAGTACCTAGATTCAATCTTTAAACCATTTAGTAACTTCCTTATTATAGGGCTTACATCCTTTGTCCATTTCTTGTGTTTCAAGTTAAACATCCTCTCCATGATATATAACCTCAACTCCTCCAACATAGTGATTATTGGTTTCCTTCTGGCGTCCACAATTACTACAATTAAGCTCTCAGAAAGACCATTCTCCACTGCAACACATGCCCTCCCTACCTCATAAAATGCTCTTCACCAAGTATTTGGTTCCTTTTCCATAAAGTAGTTATGGGCTTCCGGAGTTAATCTTTCAATTTCTTTCATGAATACATTGAAAGATTGTGGTGTTGTTGCATTGCAAGCATTCCAAAAAAGGTTCTAAAAAATAACCCCTACAAACCTCTTCTTAAAATTTTCAACAATGTGCCTTGCATATTATCGATGCTCAACACAAGGAAGCACATCCTTAACTGCCTCTATAAGACCCTTGTTTGGTCAGACATTAAGGTGAACCCAGTACCCATACCTAGTTCAAGATCATCTCTCAACAACTCCAAAAAACCACATCCAATTTTCCTTATTCTCAACACACACTATTGTCCATGCAACTAGAAATATGTGGTTGTTAGCATCTCTACCCACAACACACAATAACTCCCCATTGCATACACCCTTAAGGAAGCATCTGTCTACCCCTAACACCTTTCAACAACCTTCTAACCAACCCGCTTTCACATTAGCAAAAGATACATAGAACTTATGAAGTAACTCAAAACATCAGGCATGCATTGGACATCCATTTTGACTGTTGAACCTAGATTGCTTCATCTAATTTCCTCCCTATAAGACCATAATTTTGCATAATGTTGAGTAAGGTTCCCTCAATAAGATTCATGGCATGTGCCTTTGTTCTTCTGCATTGACTTAAACGAACCTGTATTCCAAACTTCCTGATCACATCCAATCTCAATTGTCTAATTGTTAACTTTTGTTTGTGCAAAATTTCCTTAGTATAAGGTGCTCCTATCCAAGAGTATGTGACAATTGATCCTAGTTTGTAGTTTCTAGCACAATTATGCTCAATCTTCAATGTTGATTTGAAATGACACCTCCTGCCTCATCCATGTAGCCCATAAAATGAATGGGCAAGCTCCTTTGCATCACACTACTAACAACCTTATACTGTCATTCTTCTTGAATCATAGTTGGTATCTATTTGCCACAACATAGTTACATAACATATTTTTCAGCTGCCTTGGACTTTCAAATTTCATCCCAAGAATAGGTACTTCCCTTTTCCATTGCAAATCAGGGTTGAAAATGGAATGGATCTCAACATCTTCTTCTTCAACTTTATTGTCACCGGTATCACCTTATGAAGGACATAACTTACTAAGAAACTCATCCCCATTCGTCTTGTTCAATGGTATTTTGACAATGTCAATTACTTCATCTTCAAGACCTACATTGGGATGGGTTTCATCAGGGGTAGTGTTTCCTTCATTTCTAGGTATACAATCATCTTCAAGTCCACTTTCATTATCTTCATTAACAACCAGATTCATGTCATCATCCCACCATTCCTCCAACCCATTCCCATTATGACCAACATAAATTGAGATTTCCCCGTATTCATTTTTGGTATCTATAAACTGGGCAAAATCCAAATCATCTACAATGGGACAAATCCCTTTAGATAAAGGGATGTTAGGTAAGAAGTGGTAGTGGTTTTGAAACTCTTCCCCAATAGCTCTACCAAGAAAAGTAAAAAGTCCTTTACATCCATACCTAGCCAATCAACATCAGTGAAGAGGAAGTAATTCCCACCAACATATCCATAAGGATGTGGAACAAATACACCATTGTAGTGTAGATGAACCCTCATATATACAGCTTCGTTATCGTTCTCAACCATGCAACGGTGAAGCAATCTTCAAAGAGTAGAATACCTTCGACAGAAGTTGTGTAATCTCAATAATGGCTAAGATGGTCAAAAACCCTAGTTCAAATCTTCATTCCTCTTCTTATAAGACGTACGACTAAGGAAAATGAATTAAAATTCTTACCCGTTTTTACATTCTGGAATAATACAGTTGACACAATTAATAATTGACCACCTAAGCCAACGGCTACATCACCTATTTTACCGGCTAAATAAATTCGGAAATGAATAAGGGTATGAGAGACATGTAATTTTCGTGTTTGAGAGTCTATAAAGGCCAGAAAAACAATATTGATCTTTTAAAATCTAATGTAAAAATTTGTTGGGTCTCCAAGACAAAAACCCCAAAACAAAATAGATATTCTTGTATGTTTGTGGCAACTAGTGGCCAAAAAATTAACAAAGCACCACCAATAACTTCAAACCACCCGAGTTGAGTGTCCAAGAAATTTAACAAAACACCACCACCACCACCGTGGTTAAAATAACCAAGAAGTTGAAGTGGTAACCTCTCATTTGCAGCCCAAAAATTGAACAGACTCAAACAAATCTCTACCACCGCCGTCAAAATAGTAACTTCCATAATTACCTTGCCTGCAATATTATCCAATCCATTACAAATGCACATACTTGGTGCAAAAAAATAATCTACTTTGATTAGAATGCCGACCCCACCCAGATAATTAAAGTAGCGACTAAAAAGCCTGACACGTACTTTTAAAAGTAAACATAGATACCAGCTTTTAAGCTTTAACTATTAAATAAAATACAATCACTTAACAATAAAATACATTCTTAAGTTTCCAAATTTAAAAATCCAATACAACAACTCTCTTAAGATAATTTCTCTACACATACAAACCCTTAATGTAATTTCACCGTATCTTAATTATTTGATATTACCATAGGTAAAAGCAAGTCCTCATATATATATATATATATATATATATATATATATATATATATATATATATATATATATATATATATATATATAAGGATGTGATGATAGTCCATAAGACCATAACCATCTTTCCCATCATATACTCAAAAGATATAAAATAAAGTTTAGACAGATCTAGTAATTAGTTTTGAACCCGTTTCATGATCTCAACAAGTCTTGAACTGCTCTCGGAGCTTAAGAGTTACATGCAATGGTTCTTTTTTGTGCATTGCTACATCTAAAACCTCCTCCATGTTAATATCTTCAGGATTCATGTTGTCGACAAGGAACCAGTCAAAGTTTAGAATCAAAGAAGCAACGACTATAAGTATTGTCTTGGAAGCCAGTGCTTCACCAGGACACATTCTTCTCCCGGCACCAAACGGCAGATATTCAAAGTCTTTACCTTTGTAACTCAACTTAGATCCCATAAATCTTTCGGGTTTGAAGCTTAAAGGGTCATCCCAGATACTTGGATCACGACCGATGGCCCACATGTTAACCAGGATTAGACTATCTTTTGGAATCGTGTATCCCATCACCTCACATGTTTGTGTAGCTCTATGTGGCAGAAGAAGTGGTCCTGGAGGATGCAATCTTAGGGTTTCCTTTAAGCATGCTTCAAGAAACGGAAGACGAACCAAATCTGACTCTTTGACTACATTCCCATCAATCGTTTTCAGTACTTCATCCCTAGCCTTTTGCATTACTTGTTGATTTCTCAGAAGCTCTGCAACAAACCACTCGGTGGTAGAACCCATAGAGTCGGTGCCAGCTGAAAATAGCTCCTGAGAAGGAAATCAACGAGTTAAATAATGACTAAATAATTAAGTTTAATTTACTTCAAGAATATTAATATGAGAAAGAGAGAGAGAGGGGAGAGGACTTGATCACTTGAACCTGCATCAAAGCATTAATTTGTTGTTGTGTACAACCTTTTTCAATCAAAATATCAGTGAAATCCTTTTTATCTGTGGAAATATTCCTTCCGTTTTTTTTCCTCTTGAGTATATCCTCCCAAATAGTTCCAAGTTCTTGTTCTACAATCTGCATGAACTTCTTCTTCCAGCTTTGTATATCCCATCGACCAAATAATATTGGATACAAGTCTGCTAACTGTGGTTGTGCACCCAACGAAGAAAATCTTCTTAAAGCGTCGTTAATCCTTGCACCAATACCATTGCCTTCGAAGTCTACGACATCCATGGATAATGATATATTGCCCATGATGTTAGTGGCTGTTACAAGCATGACATCCTTTATACTTATATTCTCACCACTTTTTGAAGCTATGTACTTCACCATCTCCATAACTTTTTCTAGTCTCATGTTCGCTCGAGATTCCAGAGCTTTGCTTGAAAAAATCTGTGATGTATAGAGATTTCGGATTTTTTTCCAACTATCACCGGTTTCTGAGGTGAAGGCAAGATTCATATTGTGAACAGTTGATTCCTTATCTTGAAGCAATACTGGTACATGTCGACCCGAAAGCACATGATCATGGGTCTTGAGAATCTCAGAAGCTGCAGCAGATGACGACCCGACAATGACAATTCGTTGACCTAGGCGTAGCGACATGAGTGGTCCATGCACTTGAGCCATCTCCGCAAGACGAATATGTGCTTTCTTTCTCATTTGGAAAAGGTTGCCTACGATTGGCCATGGATATGGACCTGGTGGAAGTGGTTTCTCTTTAGAAGATTTAATCATACGAAAGAAGAAGTAGAAAAGGAGTGACGAAGGAATCAAGAACATGATCATCTCTCCCATTGAAAGTCTTCCCAGATTCATGGTGTTCTTTCTTCGTTGATGCTTAAAAGACAGAAACAGATAGGATGCAAAGATTTCTTGAAGAAGAGATTGGGGACTTTTCTTTCTTTTTTCCGATGGTTACAAGAAGAGGCTTTGACTTAAATTGTTTGGATTGCAAGAGTGTTTAACAAAAAGAAGCTTGAAAATGGTTGATCAGAAATATTTCTCAGATAATTAATTATTATTCTTGTGACATGTTCATGTATTTATATCAATCTATAAAATATATAATTGTTAATAGTTTTGTATAGAAATTAGCACTCTACCTCCACTTCATACCATTCAGAACTTTAGTTAAATTTAAACTATTCTACACGAACAACCAGCTACTTTATTATTAAAAAAATATGGGTGCTACTATAATTATATCTACTCATTGCTACTAAGTTGAGTATCGGGTTCGGACCCGATTGGAACCGGACCAATTTGAAGAAAAAGGTGTGGACTGTGGACCCAACCTGTGGAGGCATAATAGTTATGGTTTTTTCGGTTCTTATACTCATTGGACCCATACAACAACATTACTCTGTATGGTACAAGTCATTGAAGAGCAGTTAAAAAACTGAAATTCCTTTTGTTTTGATATACAACACTTTGAATATGAAACCAAAATAAATGAACAACCTAAACTCAAGTAAAAACTCTAAACTACTTATTGAAACAAAATCTGTATTGAGGCTTTTAAAATTCTAGTATAATACTTGGAACAACCAGACCAAACCAGTAATAAAACCAGACCGATATTTGTACTTTTAAAGGAACCGAAAAGTGGACCTCTTCTTATAAGCCATTACCAATGTCGGTCCAATTATGGTTTTTGGTTTGAAGGTCAAAACACTCACCTATAGTGGACCATAATATCAATCAAATCAAACTTCTAGTTATTGTATCTTCTCAAATTAAATCTTTTTAATATTTATTGTAACTAATTATTTAATTTTTTTTAAACAACAAACTATCGTATTCTTAATCTAATCCTAAACATTAGTGAGATTTAAACCCATCATATTTTATTTGAAAGGGTCACACTCCTTACCCTTAAGTTAAAGACCTTTTGCTTATCTACCTTAATAAATAAATATAATTTTGCTAAATATCAATTTCTTATTGAATTTGATACATGTTATTTTATTAGAATTTTAAAATTATTTTTTTTCCACCTATCATTTTTGTATTTTTTTTTCATTTTTATTCATCTTCCACCTATTAAATGTAAGAATTAATGTATGTAATATACTTTCTATTTGTGAATTTTTATTTCTATTAATATATTAATGAATCCCATTTATGAATTTATATTAATTAGTTTTATTAGTATATAGATTAAATAAGACAAATTACATAAATGGTCTTTGTGGTTTAATTAATTTATTGTTTCTTTTTTTATTTGGAAAGTTAACTCCAAAAAATACTTAATTTTTTACAAGTTAACATTTAACATGATTATTTAAAACATGATAATAATTTTTTATTAGTATTAGAGTGAATTATTCATCATTTTATTTATATTTATTTCAAAATTTTACTTTAGAAAATACTTAACATCTACACCTTATATTTAATTTTTTTAATCAATCCGTATAATACACGGATCACACACCTAATAAACAGAATATATAAATACTCTAAAATGAGATTTCATGACCAGAAAAAGCAACTCGACATACATGAAATAAAAAAATGGGTTTAATATTTCGAGCCTACATCACATCAAAGCGGTTAAAGTTTCGGAACAAATTTAGATGTTACAATAATTTGTAGTTAATATTTTGAATGATTAATTGCAATTTGCAATGAGGACAGTAAAAACTAACGAATTATGACTATTTTGTATATTTATTAATAGTTAATGGTTTTTTGGTTTGATCTAATAGCCGTAAAGAAATTATTCAATAAAATAAATTAATCCCCGTCTGAAAACTATTTGTTGCCGCCGTTTTGCAGGTAAACGACTAGTTATATATGATTTAAATCAAAGATGCTACGATACTAATGAAGGGAAGCATTGATACATATTCAATGTGCAAAAAGACTATGATGGAAACATGTAAAGTACAACTACCAAAAAAAAAATTGTTTTTTAGAAAGACGATGATTAAAACATGTAAGACTAATGTAATTAATGGAGGACAACGCAACAATCAATTATTTCATCTTTTTCTTTTGTTTGTCTAATGACAATTAAATGATTTACTTTTTGGTACTGTGTGAACATATTTTAGATGGAATTTCGTCATCCATGACCATTGAATTATAGAGGAATTACTAATCTAACCAATTTTTTCTAATTATCTATTCAAAAATAGAAAAAGAAAAAAAAAACAAAAAACAAAAGACTTTAGCCAAAAATAATCTCCGAAAGAGTAGATGGCTAGAGTTGACTATGGTCAAAGGAGGATAATCTACAGTTTTAGAGCAATGGATTATTGTTTTTTTGGTCCCTTTACCCTTTTGTGGTTCATTGGTTTATAGTATATTATGTATAATTTTTTAGATTATGTTAATCTTTGGTATTTTTTTCTTGGTTTGCCTACTATTTTTCTCTCAATTAAGCATCCGAAAAACAATGAAATACATCTATTTTTTATCAAAATTTTACTCTATTCTAGATTAGGAATAATTTTTATACATGGGGATAATTAAAAAAACGAAAAAAAATAATATTAAAACCGTAGGCTTCATACGAAACATACGGTGTACAAGTCTACAATACACAGGTTGTTCAGTGTGGTTTCATATGATGCCTACGGATTTGTTTTCATTATTTATAATAATAATTATTATTATTTTAATGTTGTAACATGTAACCAATTATATATATTCTCCTTAAAAAAATAAATAAATAAATAAAATTGTAGACTATAACCCAGAACCGTAGGCTACGGTTTGGGAAACCGTAGTTTGTCGAGAGAAACCGTAGGTTTTAAAATAGCCTACGGTTTTAGATGTTCTAAATGATTTTTTTAATATTTAACCCAAAACAGTAGACCATTTGACGACACAATAGCTCATTCTAATTACCTCCAATTTTGTGGGCTATTTTTAAACAATTGCTAATATTTGGGTAAAAATGATTAAATAATTACTTAATTAGGTTAGATTACTAATTTCCTCTTTAGAATATAATTTGGAGAAAATTACACTATTAGTTCGTATGGATCGTTAAAATAGACTAGTTCAATATAGCTCATGTTTTTAAAAAGCACGTCATGACGCGACTCAAGACGTGCCATGGCGCAAGGCGTGGTGTAGCCGTTACGAAAACATCTAAGGCGGGTTTTGTGAAGTGTGACACCCAAATAACGTGTCAAGGCTCACATTATCGCGTTATGGCGCAAGTGTTTTTCAAGGAGTGGGTTTTTTTTATGTTTTTTTTGTTTTGTTTTTTTTTTATCGGACCTAAAATAAATGAGTTTTTGTTAATTTTTTTTTTCTATTAGATATTAATATAACACTTCTAAAAACTTTAAATATTAGATAAAATTCAATAATTATATGATTTATATCTTTTAATGTATATAATATAGTTACACCTTGAAAAACATCATGGTTCGCCAAGGCTTGTCATGACTTAACTTTTACCTTACTGCCAAGTCACGTCTTACGTTATTTAGAACATTCGTATAACTACTTGAATTTTAATGCGTTTGGTTTATATGGTTTTATTTTTTACATATTTTATTATTTTCTTTAATAAAATGTCTTTTATACCTTTTTAGTTTAAATTGTCTATTTCAATTGATTTTAACTAAAAAAATAATAATAATAAAAAAAATAAAAAAAAATTAACCCGATTCCCTCCTCCTTCCATCTTCATCATAGTCTTGAAAGACAAAGTAACACAAGGGTATTAACGAAACGAGAAAACTTACGGGAAACTCGAGTCCAACTCGGAAAATACTCGAAATCGAATCGACTTTAATCGATTCGTGATTGAGCTTGAGCTATTTGAGTATCTTATCGAGCCAAGCTCAGAGTAGTAAAATACCTAATTCACAAAGCTCACAAGCTTAATCTAGTATTTATAAAATTACATTTTTACCTTTTACATATTTTTAAATTACAAAACATTTCAACACTTTTAGCTTTTAGCCGCTGGTTAAGGAGTAATGACTAAAGTTGCATTTCAAAACTTTTGAGAATGTTTCTTTATAGATATTTGATTTTATATTCATATTAGATGTTTTATTTTGAATTTTTTGTTATTTTCAACAATGTAAGAGCATGTGGAATGTTTTCAATTTTTTATACTTTCAACTTTTTTTTTTTTTTTTTTTTTTTTTTTTTTTTTTTTTTTTATAATTTTAGTCGAGTCGAACTGAGCTCGCAAGCCAAGCTCGATAGTATCGAGTATTTCACGAGTTGAGTCTGAGCTTTATTTTTAGGCTCGAGGTGAGTTCAAGTTGAGCTTTAAGCTCAAGTATTTTATGCGAGTCGAGCTTCAAGTTTTGCAGTACTCGGCTCGACTCGACTCATTTACACCCCTAGAGTAGCACCACCCTTTCACCACCTGCACAACCCTCCACATTCTCAACAACCTCCAATTTAGTCCTGTTCATAAGAGTCACCCTTCCTTCCCCGGAATCATTCCTATTTGAAAATGTAGGTTTTAGAACGCGTACACACACATACATATGTGTGTTTTCATCCCCCGAATCTGAAATAGATTTATATGTATGTTATTATTATTATTTTTAAAAGGCAAACTAAATTTATTCTAAACTACTTCTAAATCCATCTATGTCTCTGATGAGACTCGAACCTTCAACCTCAAGAAGGGAAGACAAAGTTTGATACTGTTGGGCTAGAAGCCCTTTAGTATTTATGTGTATGTTTTCATCCATAAAATATTAAATCGATTTGTGTGTATACGTGTTTTCATTGTTTGTTATTGAAGATGGTGCCAAATTTTTTTCATAAATGGAACTCAACTGCCAAATCAATGGAAAGCATTTGAGTTATTTTCCCTCTTGGCCGATGACAAGATTAAGGTTGGGAAGAATACGATAGTTGAATCTGAAATTTTAGATGAATATGGGATCTAGTGTTAGTGACGGGTTTTGGTGGCGATATTAGGAATAGGTTAGCACCAAATCCTGGTATCGTATCAAATTTAAACATACGGAGCGGTACTCGGTTGCCTAAAATCACCATATTCAGGATTCGGTACCGTTGGTATTGGTGCTAGTATCGAAAACCGGTATCATTCTTGGTACCAATATCAA